CAGCTTCTCGGGCAGATCATTGATATATGCTAGAAACAAACAAGGGCCTAGCACTGAGCCCTGGGGGACCCCTGACTTAACACCGACAAAGGAGGAGGTTTTGCCATCTACCACTACTGCCTGGCATCGGTCGCTGAGGAAGCTAGAGATCCATGTTTTAGTAGTGCCTTGGATCCCATATCTATGCAGTTTGTGTAATAGCAAGCTATAGTTGACACGGTCAAACGCTTTTGAAAAGTCCAGCACAAGCACATCAGTCTGCTTGCTGTTCTCCAAGTTGGTCGTGGAGATATATGATGATATATAATCATATGTTGAGATATATGATGATATCTGGAGATATATGATGATATGTGGAGATATATGATTATAAGTGGATATATATGATGTTAAGTTGAGATATATGATGATATCTGGAGATATATGATGATATGTGGAGATATGTGATTAAATGTGGAGATGTATGATGATATTTGGAGATATGTGATGATATGTGGAGATATATGATATGTGGAGATGTATGACGATATGTGGAGATGTATGATAATATGTGGTGATGTGTGATGATATGTGGAGATATATGATGATACGTGGAGATGTATGATGATATGTGGAGATATATGATGATACGTGGAGATATATGATGATTTGTGGAGATATATGATGATATGTGATGATGGTGATTTAGCTTTTGGATTTACCTTACAACTTGGTATCACACACACATTGTCACCATGGTAACCCCCACACACTGGCACTATGGTATCGAACACACAATGTCACTATGGTATCCCACCCATACTGTCACTATGGCATCCCCCAAACACAGGCATTATGGTAACCCACACCAACCTGCACTATGATATCCCACGCTCACTCGCACGGCCAATGAAGTGCAATGAATGGATACTTATCTTTTGGGAACTCTATTGCAGAACTAAGGAAGCCATGGGATACACATGACTTTTGATCGGGAGTCATCAGATACACATGACTTTTAATTTTTTAAATTTTTTTTTTTTTTTTGGGGGGGGGGGGGTTAGATACACCTGCCTTTTGTTTTTTTTGAAAGACAAACTAAAAGTTTGTACCCACCCCTTTTACCCCTCTCCCAATTTTTTGGGGGGATCGGATTTTTAATTTTTTAAATTTTTTTTTTTTTTTTGGGGGGGGGGGGCTTAGATACACCTGCCTTATGATTTTGTTGAAAGACAAACTAAACGTTTGTACCCACACCTGTTACCACTCTCCCAATTTTTAGGGGCGCCCCTGCACCACACACACCTGTCCTTTGGTGGGCATCTGGCCTTTCACTCTGGAGTAGACCAACGACTCACCGATACGGATGCAGATCTGCGACAGTTGGCCAACGGAGATGGGGGCGACAACTCCAGTGAATGTGGAGAGCCGTCTGATCTCAAAGCCACCACCGGAAGTGGGGTCGTGGTAGCCTGACCTTTGCTGTGAACTCCGGGCGTAGGCACGCGATAACCAGTTCCGCAATCTCACGATACAATTGATCTGCGTCTCGTCGTTAAATTCCAAAACTTCTGATAATTTTTCCAGATCAGGGTTGCTCAGCTTGATTGAATAATCCAAATGAATTAACTTTTCTTTCGTTGCATTCCCAAAACAGCCTTCCGTGTTTTTGACTGAATCGTTTAAAGGGATTTCCTCGTATTTTAGAGAGTAGTCGCTCGACTGATTACCCCGCCCATTTCCGGTTTTCTCTCCCGCGCGTGCGCCGAGGTCGTCCATCTCGATTTCACACCAGTGTTTGCTTTTCTTCAATTCATCCGTTCTGTCAGTGATTTTAGATTTCATGAAGGTGAACGCTTTCTTGATCATGGTGACAACAACACGATTCACAACATATCCATCTGAACACTAAACATATGTCTGGTCCTTATAATTACAGCTCAACATTGGAAACAGCTTAGACATTTGAAATAGTTCTCTCAGGTGTTATCACACTGTCTTAAAACATAGAATATCTCAGAAAAACTTCATGGCTTTAGTTATCCTCACCACACTGTTGTTATTCTCACCATGGTGTTGCTAGTTTCACCACACTGTTGCTAGTCTCACCACGCTGTTGATATTTTCACCATTTTGTTTTAAAGGAGCTGTTCATCTATCTTACGCGTTACAAGGCACCCAGGCGTAAATGTGTTTTAAACACCCATCGTAGGGATGGGAGACGTGAGAGATCACATTTGAACCAAAGGTGTTCTCAAGCCTTTTTTTTCTGCAGCACACTTCTAAAATATTTGTGACTCTGTAGATGTTGATTCGTTAAATATAAAGGTGTGTAGGGGTGCTTGTGTGTGGGGGTGCTTGTGTGTGGTGGTGCTTGTGTGGGGGGTGCTTGTGTGTGGGGGTGCTTGTGTGTGGGGGTGCTTGTGTGTGGGGGTGCTTTTGTGTGGGGGTGCTTTTGCGTTGGATTGCTTGTGGTACATGTTTTTTTTTGCTTACTATATTTGACTTGGCAGCGGAGATTTTTACCGTGAGCTCATTTTCTACAACTCCACAACAAGAGCCACAGTTAGATCATTACAGGTAGATCATTACAGGTAGATCATTACAGGTAGATCATTACAGGTAGGTAATTACATTTAGATCATTTCCTTTAGATCATTAAATTTAGATCATTTCAGTTAGATTATTAAATTTAGACCATTACAGATCATTGCAGGTAGATCACTACAGTTAGATTATTACATTTAGATCACTACATTTAGATAATTAAGTTTAGAACATTACATTTAGATCATTACGGATCATTGCAGGTAGATCATTAGTTAGATCGTTGGATGGGTGCCTTAAAGGTAAAGATTTCAATGCTCACCCAAAGATTGTGTCCTTCAATAAAGACCAAAAGATTGGGGGTGGGACGTCGAAATCTTTTTTTTTTTCATGCAATATAATATGTGAATTTATATTTATCTCTCTATAAATTGCTGATAAGTCAGGAGCTAAATGTAAGGTTTGCTCCGCGCCTCAACTCCGCATCAGTAATACTGTAATGGCCGACCGCACGTGCTGCATTGTGCAGTCTTATCGGGACACGACTCCGAGACTCCATTACCACATTCGTGTAAACAATGAGACCATCTTAGTTGCCTCCCAGTAAAGATGGCTTCACTTTCCTTCTTCCCCCCCACCCACTGCTCCACCCACTGTGCCACCCACTGTGCCACCCACTGCGCCACCCACTGCTCCACCCACTGCTCCACCCACTGCTCCACCCACTGCTCCACACACTGCTCCACCCACTGCTCCACCCACTGTGTCAGTTACGCCAATGATGGTATCATTTTTTCAAAAGGTATTTGTGGGTATGGTCCATTTTATAGTGGATATTCTACATTTAATGGTGTATATGGTCCATTTTATAGTGGATATGGTCCATTGTATGGGTGGATATGGTCTATTTTATGGTGTATCCTAAATAATGGATAATCCTTATTCAGCGTTTGAATATTTTTTACATCTTAAAGAAGTTAGACTTTGCAACATCATGTGGATAGTGGATATCATTTGTATCCACATAAGTTAAATTAGACAAAAGCATGTCAAAAAGTGTCGGTGTCCTAAATAAGTTCGATATCGTTAGTAAACATTTCCCTTGTGTGAGAACCGCCTGCCATCACTGTCGTGATTGTTGTATGTTTGAACTCTGTTCTTGCAAAAGGCACGTAAGTAACTCAGCCGAATGCTGCCAATTTCAGATACAACATTTTACCACCGACTTGCCTATGTGTGTGTGTGTGTGTGTGTGTGTGTGCGTGTGTGTGTGAGTGTGTGTGTGTGCGCGCATGTCACGATGGATCACATCGAATTGCCCCAGCGCGTCTGTGTGAGATGATGGATCGAGTCCATCGGTCAATGACAGAAAACAGAGGATTGTCTTTAGTGGCATGACCTATACACTGCACACCAGTAGGGATATATATCATACTATCATGTGATCGGTGTTTCCACAACTGTAGTCATGTATGCTCAGATAAGCTCTTTAACTCTATGATAACCCTTTAAATTTCCATAGTTTAAAGTCGCCTTCTCTGAAATTCTGAAATGCTCCAATATTTTAATTAAAATCCAAAATAGCACTTTCCCCAGGACACCCTGTTGGATGAAATGAATGTATACATTATATGTATTTCTAAGGTCCTTTCCCATAAGGGTTGTGGGGGGGGGGGTGGGGGGTATGGCCAGGTCCTATTAATTTTTCTACATTATTATGTTATTGGGGTCAGTAGTTGACAAGAAACAAAAGGAATGTCATATCTCCAGTTTCTCTGTTACATTAATACCAGACAGAATTTATATGTATTTCTAAGGTCCTTTCCCATAAGGGTTGTGGGGGGGGGGGGGGGGGGGTATGGCCAGGTCCTATTAATTTTTCTACATTATTATGTTATTGGGGTCAGTAGTTGACAAGAAACAAAAGGAATGTCATATCTCCAGTTTCTCTGTTACAATAATACCAGACAGAATAGATATAACATAGAATAGATCAAACGTAGAATAGATCGAACATAGAGTAGATCGAACACAGAGTAGATCGAACATTTAATATATTGAACATGGAGTAGGTAGAACATGGAATAGATGAACATAAAATATATAGAACATATCATGGAAAGAACATAAAATAGATAGAAGATAGAATAGATAGAATATGGGGTAGATGGAACAAAGAATAGATAGAAAATAGAGAGATAGAAAATAGAATAGATAGAACATAGAATAGATAAAACACAGAAATGATAGGACACTGAATATATAGAACATATAATAGATAAACATATAATAGATAAACATAGAATAGATAGAACAAAGAATAAATAGAACATAGAATAGATAGAAAATAGAGAGATAGAAAATAGAATATATAGAACATAGAATAGATAGAACATAGAATAGATAGAACATAGAATAGATAGAACATAGAATAGATAGAACATAGAATAGATAGAACATAGAATGATTGTTGTCTACTCACCGGTACGCAGAAACAAATGGCTCGCGAACTGTCCAAGAGCCACTGGCGCGAACACCCCTGCGAATGTGTTCAATGTCCGTCCAAGGTCAGGGTCGCTGCCAGACCACGTGTTCAGCACGCTGGACTTGACAAACTTGGATTTGAGGCGCACCCAGAACGGGATGGATGTGGTCAGGGGCGTTCTCTCGTGGTCCCCACTGCCGTCGTGGGCGAGGATGGGCGAGTCCAGGTTCACGTATTCCCCGCTGTACGTGCCGTATGTGCCGCTGTTGCCGTTGGCGCCCGAGGTGGTGCCATTGGCGCCCGAGGATGCGCCGTTGAGCAGATGCACCCCGGTTGAGTCGTAGTAAAACCGCATTCCGGGACGATGTCGTGGGAGTCTACACAGCGTGCGCTCTGGTGGCAGCAATCTGTTCCAGACGTGATAATCTGGTAGGAATCTATCCCGAACGTGAATCTGTTCCAAATGAGATCTATTACCAATGTGAATCTGTTCCAGACGTGATGATCTTGTAGGAATCTATACCGAACGTGAATCTGTTCCAAATGAGATCTATTACCAATGTGAATCTGTTCCAAACGTGATCTTGTAAGAATATAGTCTAAGGTGCACTATAAGGAATCTATTCCAAACTTGCTCTGATAAGAATCAAGGCCAAACTTGATCAGTTAAGAATAGTTTCCAAACTGATCTACTAGTTATCTATTTCAAACTTGATCTAATAATTATATATTTCAAACTTGATCTTCCTATTATCTATTCCAAATCTAATCTTCTAATTATCTTTTCCAAACTTGACATTCCAATTATCTGTTCCAGACTTTATCTGCCCATTATCTATTCCAAATTTGATCGGGCACGAAGCTAGTCCAAAGTTACTTCACCAGTTAAAAATACCTACAATTACAATGAATGACATTACTCAGTGTAATTTTACTCGTTTGATTACTGCTACTTGGCGGAGTCATGGTTTGATGAGACCCACATGGCAATCGTATAATTCAGACACACGTACATATTGATTGTGTCATAATCAAAGAGGCCTGGTGTTAATACGGAGGAGGACTTGAACGAGTGTGTCTCATGTCACCTCATTTCGTTCTTCGCACTAAAGAGTGTTAAAAAATAATGTCCTGGGTTAAGTCCATGGCCAGACAATTGTTTTGGAATGTGCAAGTTTTAAGCAGCCGACCAGTCAAATGTGCTGCTGTATCCACGTGTTCAGTAGCGGACCAGTCAGATGTGTTGCTGTATCCACGTGTTCAGTAGCGGACCAGTCAGATGTGTTGCTGTATCCACGTGTTCAGTAGCGGACCAGTCAGATGTGTTGCTGTATCCACGTGTTCAGGAGCGGATCGGAAGTGCGGTGGAGCATCCAAATATTCAATGGTCAGAAAACGGGGGCATAAGGGCAACCTGTAGACGTTTGACATAATCCAGAGTGAATTATCAATTATCAATTATCAATTATCAATCATCAATTATCAATTATCAATTGTGATTTATGAATTGTGAACGATGAAGCTAAGCTGTTTTTATACTCCAAAGCAGAGGGTAAATTAATGCAAAAAAGCATGCTTCATTTAACTCAAGATGCAAGAGTAATTGATCACAAGATACATGAGTATTGATCACAAGATACATGAGTAAGTAATCACAAGATACTAGAGTAATTGATGACAAGATACATGAGTAATTGATCACAAGATACATGAGTATTGATCACAAGATACATGAGTAATTGATCTCAAGATACAAGAGTAATTGATCACAAGATACATTAGTAATTGATCACAAGATACAAGAGTAATTGATCGCAAGATACATGAGTAATTGATCTCAAGATACAAGAGTAATTGATCACAAGATACAAGAGTAATTGATCGCAAGATACATGAGTAATTGATCACAAGATACATGAGTAATTGAACACAAGATACAAGAGTAATTGATCACAAGATACATGAGTAATTGATCTCAAGATACAAGAGTAATTGATCACAAGATACATTAGTAATTGATCACAAGATACAAGAGTAATTGATCGCAAGATACATGAGTAATTGATCACAATATACATGAGTAATTGAGCACAAGATACACGAGTGATTGATCGCAAGATACATGAGTAATTGAACACAAGATACATGAGTGATTGATCACAAGACAAATGAGTAATTGAACACAAGATACAAGAGTAATTGAACACAAGGTACAAGAATAATTGAACACAAGGTACAAGAATAATTGATCTCAAGATACAAGAGTAATTTAACACAATATAAAAGAGTTTTTAACACAGTTTACATGACTCATTGAACATATCAAACAGGAGTCATTAAACACATCATATAGGAGTCTTTAACACTAGAGACATCTGCCAGTTTATGTTTGTGGGTCAATTGTGGTAAAGAAACGTTTCAAAAAGTTCAACCCCACGTCAATCATACCTGTCATTGCACCTGTAAATGTACCTGTAAATGTACCTGTAAGTAAAATGTCAAATGTTTATGTTGAGCAGAACCATACATCATAGATTTTGACATTATTGACATTTTCAAAATTTGTATCGAATGATTTATTGAATTCATTCAATTTATGACAGCAGACTTAAACCTTCAACAACAAACATTAGAAGGACAAATGCTATACTATTATGGTATCGCTTTTTAATAGGGCATATCAATAGCTCCTGACTGACCGAAACGCCCAGGTTTACCTGTCGGGAATAACAGACAACACTGCACACCTGTTGTTCGCATTCCCATTATCTTTGGCCGGCAACTCGATCGCGTGGGATCAATACTCTCAGGATCATAAGTCAGGTTGAACTACACGCTAAGCATGCGTAGATACTTCCCGTGTGTTCAAACTTCTGCTAGTTGTAGTCGCTGCCCAGAATTTTATTGATAGTTCAAACTTCTGCTAGTTGTAGACGCTGCCCAGAATGTTATTGATAGTTCAAACTCCTGCTAGTTGTAGACGCTGCCTACCATTTTATTGATAGTTCAAACTTCTGCTAGTTGTAGACGCTGCCCACCATTTTATTGATAGTTCAAACTACTGCTAGTTGTAGACGCTGCCCACCATTTTATTGATAGTTCAAATTTCTGCTAGTTGTAGACGCTGCCCACCATTTTATTGATAGTTCAAACTTCTGCTAGTTGTAGACGCTGCCCAACATTTTATTGATAGTTCAAACTCCTGCTAGTTGTAGACGCTGCCCAGAATTTTATTGATAGTTCAAACTCCTGCTAGTTGTAGACGCTGCCCACCATTTTATTGATAGTTCAAACTTCTGCTAGTTGTAGACGCTGCCCAGAATTTTATTGATAGTTCAAACTTCTGCTAGTTGTAGACGCTGCCTACCATTTTATTGATAGTTCAAACTTCTGCTAGTTGTAGACGCTGCCCAGAATTTTATTGATAGTTCAAACTTCTGCTAGTTGTAGACGCTGCCCACCATTTTATTTATATTTAGTCACAATCGACTTTGTCGTCATATTACGTCACGGAACAGCTGCACTGATTGAACATCACTAAACTGTACTGAATTATATTGGAATCATACTGAGCCCTACTTAACCATACTGGGTCCTACTGAACCATACTGGGCCCTATTGAACCATACTGAGCCCTACTGAACCATACTGCGCCCTACTGAACCATACTGGGCCCTACTGCATTATATTGGAACTATACTGAGCCCTACTGAACTATAGTGAGCCCTAGTGAACCATAATGTGCCCTACTGAACCATACTGAGCCCTACTGAACATTACTGAGCATTACTGAACCATACTGCGCCCTACTGAACAATGCTGAGCCCTACTGAACTTTATTGAGCCCTACTGAACTATACTGCGCTTTACTGAACCATACTGATCCCTACTGAACCATACTGGGCCCTACTGAACCATACGGGGTGCTACTGAACCATACTGCGCCCTACTGAACCATACTGCGCACTACTGAACCTTAGTGGGCCCTACTGAACCATACTGGGCCCTACTGAACCATACTGAGCCCTACTGAACCATACTGCGCCCTACTGAACCACACTGGGCCCTACTCAACCATACTGAGCCCTACTGAACCATACTGCGCCCTACTGAACCATACTGGGCCCTACTGAACCATACTG